TTGATGTCTGCTGTTCTGCTGAGAAGTGAGGATAATCGCCGTATTGTCCCACTTCCTGTGAAACTAGCCATGTTATTGTTTTCATATTTTGCCAAATTAATGTAAATGTTTGATGTTAAACTTTGATTCTGCAAATAAATGACCGCATTCATTTTGATGGGTCAAAGATAAATAACGTCTCTCGTTACATTTCTGTTAAATTCAATGCACGACATTTACACAGTCAGAAAAATGAAGAACCCGTCTTAAATGTATGAATATATCCTGCATATGTCATACTACAGTGTAAGCAAAAGTCCTTTGAAAACTTGAGTTGCCACTTCAATATCCAAGATGGCTGCCGCCATATATATCCACCCATCTTGTGAGCAGGATATCTTGAAAAATAAGCAATGTGCTGACTTCCATTTTGGTATGTGTCTGCATATATGTGTAAAGAAAGTCACTATAAAGCCTCTAGGTACCATAAGACAGTGTATTTCTTGGTACTCAGATAAATGGTGAGGGTTGTGTCAGGAAGAGCAGCCAGCGTAAAACACTTTTGCTAAAACTAACATGCGAGTTCAAAGCAAAACCATATCTGAGAGGTGCTGTTGACAAACAGGGTGCTGGCTGAAATTGTGCTACTGTTAGTCGAAGACCACGAGGAGGGAAACATGTCAGGAGACAGAGGGAGAAGAGGAAAGTCAAGAATTTAGGACTGAGGGCTGCAACTCTAAATGTGGCTGACATGATGCAGAGAAGGAAGGCAGATGTTTTATGTGTCCAAGAGACCAAGTGGAAGGACAGCAAGGCTCATAGCATTGGAGCAGGGTTCAAACTGTTTTACCATGGTGTGGATAGAAAGAGAAATGGAGTAGGGGTGGTCCTGAAGGAGGCGTTGGCAAAGAATGTAGTAGAGGTGAAGAGAGTGTCAGATAGGGTGATGTGCCTGAAGGTAGAAGTAGAAGGTCTGATGCTTTATGCTCCACAGGTTGGATATGATGGGGAGGAGAAATATACAATCTGGATGAAGTGATAGAGAGTATTCCCAGGGAGGAGAGAGTGGTGATGGGAGCAGACCTGAATGGACATGTTGGCAAAGGAAACAGAGGGGATGAGGAAGTGATGGGTAGGTTTAGTGTCAAGGAAAGAAACCAGGAAGGACAGATGGTGGTGGATTTTGCCAAGAGAATGGAAATGGCTGTAGTCAACAAGGTATCAGGTAACATATTTTCAAAAGAGGGAGGGACATAGAGTGACCTATTAGAGTGGAGGAAGGAGTACGCAGGTCGACTATATTCTGTGTAGAAGAGGAAACCTGAGGAAGATTGGAGACTGTAAGGTTGTGTCAGGGGAGAGCGTGGCCATACAGCATTGGATGGTTGTGTGTAGAATGACTGTTGTTGTGAAGAAGAGAAAAAGAGTAAAATCAGAGAAGACCAAATGGTGGAAGAGTGTTGTGAGAAATTCAGAGAGGAGCTGTTAAAGGCTCTGGGTGTCAGAGATCTGATGGCAGAGGATCCTACACACAGATTCAGAAAGGTTTTTAAAATGTTTATTATGTAAATAAACAGCTTCTGGTGTCTCAGGTCCAGGGGCAGGAACTGTATCTAAAATGATACAGAGGGCAAAGTTTAGTGTTTGACAGAATAACGAGTAGTTATCTGAATACAGACGATCTGATGAAACACTAACCTTTCTTGTTGTAACGGGATGCTCCAGCGGAGACACAGAGCTGCAGAAACCAAGGGAAATCCAGAGACGTAGTCGAGGATGAGCAGCGTTCATACACGGGATCAGAAGAGGAGACAGTACCGATAGGGAGAGCCAAACGCGAAATCCAAAACAGGCATAGGTCGTCAACAAGGTCAGAAGACTGAGGCACAAAAAGGGACAGGCAAAAAGCTTGGTCGAGGGAACCAGGCATGGATCAAGATTAAGGAGCTGTGAACAAAGAGCTGGATAACTGTGGCTGGAAGCAAGCAGTTGATCTGGCAACGTAGTGGAGAAAGCAGGAAGTATATATACATCCAGAAACAGGTGGAAACCATCAGCAACAATCAGAGAGGGAGGTGTGGCATGTAAAGAGGCTGGCAGAAGCATCAGAGGAAAAACCCAGGAGAGCAGAGAAGAAAAAGTCAAACAGTGAACAGAGTGATGAGAAAAGGAAAAAACAGAGTGTAAACTGTGACACTGGGTGGTAAGAAAGAGCTTCCAGATGACTGGACTACTAAAGCAACAGTAATTAGAGAGACAGGTAGGATGGTACTTGGTGTGTCTTCTGGACAGAGAATGGATGATAAGGAAACCTGGTGGTGGAATAGTGAAGTGCAGGAAGTTATTCAAAGAAAGTGTGTGATGAGTTGTATGGGAGGCTGGACACTGGGGGTTGCACAACTTCATATTTTTTAAAGTCAACTTCTACATGATAAAAGTCGACGTCGACTAGTCGCTGTGACATCATAGGAACTCAAGACGCTAAATCATATTCAGAAAAAAATGTCATTTATTATTTACAATAAAATAGAACAAAACATTGGGAGTGTATATTTATGATCCTACCATTTATCGTATTGCAAATAAGTCACAGGAAAACCAAAACTATTATTAATTTGAAGAAGTGAAAGAAACGTGCGCCACGTAAAAAGACAAAACTAAAACCAGGAGTCGGGTGGTGGTGGATTCTACCACCATGGATTAAATAAAATAAAACTAAAAACAGGGGTGTGAGTGGAATCCACCACCGCCCGCTGACATGGCGGCTGGGTCCAATCCAGTTAATCTTCAGGTGGGTCGCTGGCAGTGAGCCATCTGGACTTAAAAAAAAAAAAAAACTTATTTCAACCGGCCAGTCAGCACGCTCTCAAATGGCTGTACGCAGCTGATGATTCAATTTAGATCACCAGCGACACGCTGCTGCTGACACAATCAAAAGCCCGACCCGGCCCACCCATCCAGCACATTATGTGCTGCATGTTATTAATGTGCTGGATGGGCACATTAATTAATAGATTTCGAACCCATGGGCTAGTGGTAGACGACAGCTCTAGCCAGCGCCCGGCGACACAATCACGTGACTGAGACGTGAAATTTAAAAACTTGCAAGATGTCCTAGAATCGACTTGTAGGGTTTGTGTTTTTCTTGGGTCTGGCCCCCTCTTCTGTTGTGTCTTAGTACTGCTCTCCTGTCTCCTCTTAATGTGTTCTTCCTGCTCCCACCTGTCATCGTTCTCAGCTGATTGTCATTGTCCTCATTAGTGTGTGTATTTAAGCCTGTGTTCCTCACTCCTTGTCAGCTGGTCATTGTCTCTTCCTGCCAACCTTGCTCTCTGTGTTTCCCAGGATCACCAGTAAATGTGAGTTTTGCTGCCACGTCAGCACATTTGTTTAATAAATTATATTGATTTGAGACTTTTGGAGTATCCAGTGTCCTGCCTGCAACCTTGGGTTCGACCTTTAAAACACCCATTATGACACGACTAGTCAATTCCACCCCTACTGGACAGTAAAGAGGAGGAGAAGGACTACTATAGTTGGTGTGAGGACAGAGAATGCAGAGGACAGAGTGAGATGGAGGAGGATGACTCTCTGTGGCAACCCCTGAAGAGGAAAAAGCCAAAAAAAGGAATATATATATATACATACACTGATTTATATCAACCACCCCAATCATTTGTCAAATCTATGCTTTCTAGGTTTAATACATCTTAAACATAAAGTTTCCTCAAATGATTGGTGTGGCCAAAGAATATTCTATAGTGGTGCCAGGTGGTGGATAAAATGTTATTTCCACTCTCAAGATCCGTCAGTCTGAGCTGCCTTTGACACTCCGTCCATCCATTCATTATTTTCCGCTTGTTCCAAAGTTGGGCCGCAGGGGCAGCAGCCTGAGCAGGGAGGTCCAGACATCTCTTTCCACAGCCACCTCTTCCAGCTCTTCTGTGGGGACCCCAAGGCGTTCCCAGGCCATGCGAGAGACAGCCTCCCCAGAATGTCCTAGGTCTTCCCTGGGGTCTCCTCTCAGTCAGACATGCCCGATGCATGCCCACGGAGCATCCTTAACAGATGCCCGAACCACCTCAACTGGCTCCTCTTGATGTGGAGGAGTAGTGGTTCTACTTTGAGTCTCTCCTGATAACTGAAGTTCTCACTCTATCTCTAAGGGAGAGTCCAGCTACCCTGCAGAGGAAATTCATCTCAACTGCCTGCCCGTATCCATGATCTCATTCTTTCTGTCACTACCCAGAGCTCGTGATCAAATTTGAGGGTAAGAACGTAGACTGGCCGGTAAAGAGAGTTTTGTCTTACGGCTCAGCTCCCTCTTCACAATAACAGACTGGTACTACAAAGTCCATAATACTGCAGACACTGCACAAATCCATCTGTAAATCTCATGCTCCATTTTTCCCTCACTACTGAACAAAACCCAGAGATACTTGAACTCCTCCACTTGAGGCAGAACCTCACCCTCAACATGAAGAGATCAATCCATCCTTTTCCAGTTGAGGACCAT